AGAAAAAAAAAAAAAAAAAAAAAAAAAAAAAAAAAAAAAAAAAAGGAAGACGGCAAAGAAGGCCCCAAGACGGCAGGGCAGCAGCGGGCTTATCAAACCTAATCGCTGGCTATTATCGATTATAAATCTTACATTGATTGAGACACAAAGATCTTCAAGACTATGATGACGAGCGACATCTTCAAGTAAAGAGATTCGATTTCTTCCTAAATCTTGTGGTTCAGGTGTTAGTTGAAACATATGTAATTAATTGTGGTTGTTGAGGTGAGTTAGGTTGGATTGTAATGGAATAGATTTTTTGCTTGTTTTGAGCATTGATTAAATTGGGTTGTGATGATTAGTTCAAAGAGAGAGTAAATTGAGAATAATTGACATAAACCAAGATGAAAATGAACATAAAAGACAATAATCGAGTCAGTAGCAAGGATTAGAGGAATGAGATTGTAGACAAAAAGCTTTGATGTCAAGCAATCAAAGGTGGTGGGAGGTGTGTATCAGTTCGAGTGCGCTCGGAAGTTGAGCAAATTTCAGCGGGTACATTCTGGTGGCAGAAGGCTGATCATTGATGATTGTACCTGTAGTCAATTAAGAGATCTGTCAGACTAACAACCAAGTAGCCATGACTGTCACCACAAAAGCAGGGATCAGATGAACGGATTGATGATGATAAGGTGATTTTTGTCATCAGTTTTAGAGTGGAAAGACAAATCTTCTGAAAGGGTGAAGGGAACGGGAGTGGATAGGAAATGTGGCAAGTATAAACTGTCACATTGGAGGGCAATATGGTGGCGAGTATAGTCTGTCAGTGGAGAGTTTGGAGTCAGTCATCAAGTGGCAATCGTAGTATAGAGTCTAGACCGCTATAGACCGCCACTTGTTTGTTCGGAATGCAGGTAGAGTGCATGGTGTCAGCAAATATGGATATGGAGATTGACACTTTGGCAATCATAAGCGAGGAAGCTGGCCTTCCTTTAACTTGAATGATTGTTGTGGTTTGTCAAGATATATTCTTACCTTAGCATACTGTCTACTTCAAGAATAATCATAAAACTGTGAAGTAAAAATCAACGCTGGATCACTACGCTACTCAACGCTACCAGGACAAATCCAGATAGCGTAGATGGGCCAGTTAATATAATAACGCAGTAGCGTAATTTTGGGGACTGTCAGCTAACACTTCTGCATTAGTGTGCCTTGAACAAGCTAACATTTTTTTGAATTGCAATAACGCAGTCGTAGTGCGTTACAAAAACTTGCTAACAACTAACATAACTGTCAATCAATTTTCCCGGCTGTCCGCTCAATTTGACCCCGCCGCGTAGCCACACTCGACTCCCTACAAGGCGTTCGATATTCCACGCTGAAAGCGATCCTCGATTGCTTGATTGCTTGCACAAACATCTGCTGCAGCCAAAAAGGTATGCTCTGCGGGAGCCAAGGATCCGCAGCAAGCAAGATAGCCGTGAGCGAGTAAGGCTAGAACAGGATATCTTGATGCCTTGTTCTGTTTGAAATCATGTATTCACATAAGGACAGCAGAGGAGAAAGACAGATTAAGTTGTTGAAATAGTTACTTACTTTCCACCAAGTAAAAATGCTATGAGGATTGTGAGCTTGATCTTTGTTTAAGACATCAGTGATCTTCACCTTCAGGAGGTGAAGTCCTTAAATCAGCGCAGGGGTACGCTAACAAGTAACAGCTGATGATCAAATCTTAATCTCTGTTAACATAGATGGAAAAAGCCAACTGACACTACAAACGTAGCGGGGGCAAGTTATCACACATGGCGGGGTCTGGTAGTATAGATCTCCACATCTAACGGAAAGTGTTGGTGTAGCTGCGTGAAAAAGTTACACTAACAGCTTCCCTAACACTTTTTTAGCGTAATTGGTCCAGCGTTGGTAAAATGTGTTTGAAAATGAAGTCAATTATATTTTGACATTGATTGAAATCTTCATGTATCACTTTGGAAGTTCTCAAACTGGTCTACTTGGTTTATAATTATGAATGCTGATCACATCAAAATCTTGTACTGACACTTTGCATTATTTATGGGATACAAAGTTAAATCTGGGATTTTTTTCCCGGTTTCCCAGTTTTTGTTTTTCACTGTGTTTGGAACTTTCCCACATTCTCCTGGTTTCCCAGTTTGGGTTTTTGGCTGTATCTGGGGAAAAAAACTCCCAGATTTAACTTTGTATCCAATGATTGATACACCACGAACCCTCTTTTCGTTGAAAAACCGGTGCCAGGGGGTTTTGAATTGGACCCGCCAACAACCCAATGGCACTCTGGCAAATTGTTGGACTGTGATCCATTTTCTGCGCAGTAGATTGGGTGCCGGTTGTTTGACCAGTGTCCAAGCAGTTAATAAAAAAAACCACTATTCAAAACACCACGTAAAATGCCCCTCTGAGCTTCCTGTGGTTGATCAATTATTGGATGCCTAACTTGTCTTCACTGGTTGAAGAATCAAGAGACTTCAAAGAATTTGAACAAAAATGAGAATTAAATCAAAGACTTAATTTAAAAATTCTATCAACTGATTTTAAAACTATCTTAACCTTTAGTACCACAACAAACATTTGATTCATTCTCATCATCATCACCATCACCATCACCAACGTTGGGCCGGTGCATTGCTTTGAGGGAGCAACTTACAGAAACATTGAGCAACGTGCAATACCCCGGAAAGCAGCGCAACACACCGGAATAGGCAGTTGCCCGGTGCGTTGCTCAACGGGCTGTGACATTTGGCCCCGTTGTATTGTGGTTGTGGCTCCGTTGTGAGCGATGCAACCCCGCAACGGGTCAGAAATATTGAGGGAATGAAATTGAAAGAGAATGACATACCTGTTGATGAAATGTCAAGATTTCCTCAAAATAATTACGCAAATTAATCGAATAAACTAACAAAAACCACATGTCCTCATATACTGTTCTCTCACCACAGAATATTCTTCCTGGCCAGTGGTATCGAGAACGTCCAGTAGTGCAACTTCCTCATAGATTACACACTGTTGACAATAAGAGTCTGAAGATTGAAATGCAATCAGGGCTAGTTACAGTAGATGTCAAATTCGTGGTAAGAGATACTAACCTTTGACAGTAGGGTCATATTTGTCAACAAAATGAGATTGAATGAATTGGATAGTAAGAGCTGATTTGCCAACACCTATGCCCTTCAAGTTGTTTTTCTTTGCTTGCAATGTGAGCAACGCCTGTAGCAACGGTGAGCAACAATCGAAAGAAACGGGGTAAAAGAAAAGGACTCAACACAATGGGCATTGCCTTTGCCCGTTGTGTTGTGGGCTGATGGGTACAAATTTGAATTGTTGCCATCACCATCCAATATATCTCATCAAAATATAACCACCAAGTCCATCAAGTCCTACAAATCAACCTTATAGTCATCATCATCATCAACAATTCAATCCAGATTTACTTCATGATCTCATCATTCCCCTTACCTCATCCTCACACTTACATCCTAATCACATGATACTGACCTGACTTCTCTGTTATCTCCCAAAAGAGATGCTTAGGTGGATTTTGCTTTTTATCAAATTTGAATGACTCTTACTTAAACTTGAACAACATTGTGATTCACCTGAACCTCATTTACTATCTTCATCAGGTAAAGAGAAAAGTAAGAATGCTGAAGATTCTTTCTCATCAAATAGCTCATACAAATGTCAATCAACTATCAACACTTCCTTTCTTGTCCCACCTACCTCTCTTAGATCATCATTGCTTAACCTTTCTTGTCCTTCAATTTGTTGTTAAAATCGTATTGGCTTGGTTGTTCTCCTGGTGCTTCCTTCAGGCGCAAATGGTACGGTAAACAAATCAGATCTGAGTAATTAAAACTATCCCAATTCAAGCTAATAATGATTGGAAAGAAGATCTTGTCTTACCTGATTCTGGTTTAGTCACTTGAGATCGAGCAAAACTTTGAAGACCAAAGCTAGTTTTGCCAGTGCGATCAGTCAAGAATTTGATGATACCTACCACCAAAAGTTAGTATCCAAGCAGATCCACTTCTCCTCAACCAATCTATCAATCATTTAGAAACTTGTGTGTTTTTCATTTTCAATCAGGCCTTGATCAATCTACTTCTGAACTCCCTTGTAGAGCTCAGGTCCAACACCTTTTATCTAAACGTAGGCCTAATTTGGGTTGGGCTCAGGATGATTTTGCAGGCAATTGACTACTTGAATGAGACCCATGGAACAGAACAGTGTGATGCATGTACATGAAGACTAGTTCTTATGTATTGATTTATGGTATGGCATATGAATCAGTTTTGCCTTTGTTTCCATATTTCATTTTCTCTCATTTTCTCTCTTATCAATGTTTCATGTCTGTAATATTTTTTTTCCTTGTCTTTGTTATCCTTAGTCTTGAGCCGTTTGTTTCAATCATTTTCATCTCTTATTTTCTGTCTTATCGAGGTTTCATTTTTGTATTCTTAATCTTTGACAGTCCAGTCAATGGGTTGTTCTGAATGTAGTAATTAACTTGGATTGAATCCTCTATTTGTTTTGTGCTTTTATGAGCAATTGAGTATGAGTTGAGACATTGAATTGAGTTGATAAAAGAGCCTATTGTCTCTTTCTTAGCAAGCATGGTTGGAGGCTTCAACCAGTTTGGAACTAGTGATAACTGGTGTAGTGACCAGCTTTAAAAACCCTGTTTAAAACATGGTAAGACGGCCACATGTTATCAACGGTGGTCACCACTAACAAGGAAACCGGTCACCACCCGATGGGGATCAGTTACAGGGGGTTTGTGGTGTATGTATTCTGGTTTGGTCTTCAGTCTTTCTGATGTCTTGACTAAGCTTTCTTATTCCGGACCTGTTCCTTTCACCGGGCTTTGACCTGTCTTGGCAGTGGCCCTGGCTGTTTCGGGGATTTGAGGCTTCTTACTCTGACCAAAATATTGAATTTTCAAGTTTCTTTGGGAATATTCCTGGATCTTGACTGAGGCATCCAATCAAGAAGGGTTGAATTTTCACTAACTTAACTAAGTCCCTTGATGCCAAGACAGATGTCATTCAAGCAAGTTGAATCAGCATGTCTCACCATGAGGTACTACAAATTATATATTCTCAGCCCTGAGCCCCGTGTACAGGACCACGGACTAACAAACACACATGTGTAACTTGTTCAAAACCATAAAGATTTAGGGCTGTGACCCGGCCCTGAGATCTCGTGGCCGGCCCCGGGGCCGGGCCGGGCCCTGAGTAGGCCCGGAGCCCTTGGTATTTTGACTCGGGTCGACCAGGGCAAGCCCTGAAATCGGGGACTCAGGGCCAGGCAGGGCTAGGCTTAACTTTAAGGGACAAGGGAGGGCATAAAGTAAATATTTTCTCTCGATTTTAGGCAAAGGAAGCTAGGTTATGAGGCTTACTCAGGGCTAGAATCAATTTTAAATGACACGGAAGGGATAAATTTGAACTGTTGTCTTGATTTTGGGCAAACAAAACATAATCTTGTATTTCAACTTCACACGACAGAAACATATTTTTGAGGTAATGTAATCCTGAAAGTAAAGATAACTACTTCAAAATCACACAGCAGAAACAAAAAATTTGAGTGAAATAATCCTACTTAGAAGGGAAGACAACTAAATCAAATTCACGTGACAGGAACAATCTTTCAAAGTAATATAATACTACTTAGAAAGTACAGACAACTGAAAGGCATATGAATAAAAATTTTGCTCAATCAATTTCTAATACCTTATTCCAGCTCTTGAGGCACACCTGAGCCTCAAGGTTGAGGGGAGTGAATGATGCATGATGATCACTCGTGACACGTAAAGTGTTAGAGAAAGTACTTGCAGATGGAGCACTGGTGGCAGCAACGGCAAGCATTGCAGTAGCCATGCGTGCCAAGATAGGCCAATGATGGCGATGGGTGAGCCAGAAATTAAGGGGATCACAAATCTCGTCTTCTTGAGGCACTGTGAGGTATTCTTTGACCTCGTCCTCGACTGGAACGGTCTTGCGTCGCTTGATGAAGTGATGAGGTTGGTCTGGTTCGATGGCTTCGACTTCGGGTTCAACGATCTCGATTTCAGGATCATAGACAGGTCTGAACTTGCGGGCTTCTTGAGTGAAGTAATCAATCAAGTCCTCTTCACCCCAGCCGTGAGATTCCATAGTGGAGGCTTTGACAGCGCTGATCTTGAGGCAAGGATCAAGGATGGCCGCGCAAATGTAGACCGCCTTGGTCTGAGCAGCGGTTTGATACTGCACGATCTTGCGTAACATCGGAAGGATTGCAACCTTCAATTCCTTGCAGTCAGAGTCGTGCCAGGCCTAGAAAGGAGAAAAAAAGTCAAAGTCAGCAAGTGATACAAGTTATCAATAAGAAAAGAGTAAAACGAAGGTGAGGAAGATAGAAACAAGACTGACCCTTTCAAGACGTTCAACCAACCATTGGTAATCTGGCATTACCTGCGAGAAGGTGGGGTACTTGTGACCCTCAAGCGATTTGGTGACAGCAGCAAGTGGATCCAGGAATTGAACAATGTTGGCTACCAGGTCCCACTCCTCGTCCTCGAGTGAAAATTGTTCAAGAGAACTATCACCATTGCATTGATATTTGATGACATGTTTAAGTTCATGAAATCGTTTGAGCGAAGCATGCGTAGATGACCAGCGGGTTGAGACTTCGTGAACCAATCCAACCTTGCGATCCAACTTCTGACAGCTTGCAATAGCGTTGTCAAGGGCCATCTTGAGTTGGCTGCTGTGCTTGACTTTCTTGTGGAAGGCACAAATCCGAGTCAGGATGCTGGTGATGTTGGCATTTGGGGTAGGCTCGATAAACAGTGGAACAGCAGAAGGATCTTGGTCAGGTAAGGAGGGATCAAGAGCGTTTACGGGAGGAGGGGCCGATCAACGATCAAAGATGGATAATCCAGCTTTGGCGACGAGATTGATAACATGTGCTACGCAGCCGTGTAAGTTTTGAGTAGCATTGAAATGAGGAATCAAGTTGCAAAGATGTTGGCCCATGGTCGTGTTATTGGATGCGTTGTCGGCGGTAATACAGTAGAGGCGATCAGATATTTCAAACTTGTCCAAGATATACTTCAAGTGAGCTGCGAGATTAGCACCGGTGTGAGGTCCGTCAATGGGTTTGATGGCAAGCGTGATACCGTGGATCTTGAAGTCGTCCGAGATCCAATGGGCTGTGACACCCAACATGGCGACATTGTTGGGTGCAGTCCAGCCATCGCAGGTGATACTGACGTGACAAACGGAAGAGAGAAGCTGGGCAATGGCGTTTCGAGCGGTTCGGAACTTGTCCACAATTCCATCAGAGATACACGTTCTCTTGGAAAGGATGGACAGGGCTTGGGGGTTGAGAATCGTAACGAGTTCTCTGAACTCCTTGGCGTCGACAAGGGAGGTCAGGAGCTCTCGGTTCACAACAAGCCGGATGAGGGTGTCCTTGAGATTGGATCGATTGAGGCTTTTGACCTAGAAGTGAACAAAAAAAAAACGTCAGTGAACAGTAAAAGAAAGAAAGTAAACAGAAAGATCCAAAAAGGACTTACATTGGCAAGCTTCCCATTGATGAAGTAGGCTGCCATCGTATGTTGATCAGTAGTGACAGGTGGTTCAATATGATGGCATCTTGACAAGTGCCGGATCATGGACTTCGTACTGGCATGTCAATCAATTGCCATTTGGCGGTTGCAGAGTGGAATCGGAGCGTCAGGATCTTCTTCACCGGCAGCCGTGTGGACATCGACAAAGCCTTCCTTGGCCGTACAAAAATTCTTCAACATACCCTCAATCTTTCGCTGGGTGAATTATTGCCAAACCCACGAGGTTTGAGTAGTAGTCGTGGCGTCAGAAAATACCTCGGAAACGGAATCAGAGGGTGCGATGCTGGTAGACGGGGTAATGGCATTGACAGAAGACATGATCAAGAGGAACTGGATCTGTGATCGATAAAGCGATGATTGACGTGTGAGATGATAGATTGGTGTGAGAGATAACATAAAGGTATGTCCGACGTCGGCCGGAGTAAGTTTCTGAGTAACATCTACTTACCTGGTTTTTTTTTCACGCTTTACATAGTCGGCGACCCGACGGACCGGGGCCGCCGGCACGCCCGCAGGGCTTTTGTTGATATCATCATGTTAGGTTTCAGAGGGTCAGGGCGCGTACCGTCTGCCTTCAAAATATCGTCGGGCAGACCGGGTCGGGCGGGGTCGGGACCGGGTCACAGCCCTATAAAGATTGCACCTCATAGCTCAGTATCAAGAGTCACTCAAGTAACAGGACTTACTAATACTATGACTTAAATAGCAATAGTAAACCTAACCCAAACCTATCCCAAAGAAGAAGCAAACCTAAGAGCATCCACTATTGTCTCGGTAAATCTTACCGTACCAAGGCTCAAAATCCCCAATTGTGTCAAAAACATGCATCAGTACCTACGGAATCGGTAGAAATTTGGTAGAGGTCAAGTAAATTTACTGGACCTCTACCGAATTGGTATCTGCAAATTTACTGGTCTGCTGAGCCAAACATCACACCACAACTCAAAAATGAAAGTTTTCACTACACCTCTCCTCTCCTGCTCTCAATCATCATACACTACACTTTCCATCCAAGCCTCAACATAACCTTCAACATCCTATTTCGCTTCGTACTTACCATGTCTTGGTACTGTTTCATTTCTTTCAAATCCTTTGTCTCCGTTTTCAAAACTTTTGTTTTTGGATCATTCGTTTTGAAATCATATTTTCACATTGTTTGTTCTAAACTCAACTGTTTTCAAGTAGATTGCTATTGAGTTGATAGTCTTTAGGTTAGTTTTTAGATTGATAGCTTTTACAACAATCAATGAGAAACAACAAAGTCTACTCGATGACTTGCAATTTGCAGTTTTTGCAGAAGGAACCTGAACGCACGATAACGGGACATAGTCTTTTCTGTACGGTACTTACCGTACAGAATGGTATTTACTGAGACGATAGTGGATTTCCACTAATCTGTATCTAAAGATACTGTAAGTTACACAGTATGTACTGCTAATTTACTGAAATTTTACTGAACGATAGCTGATGCTCTAAGCACCAACCACAAGTTGACACCTAGGTCTGGAATATATGAACCCCTCTTCTCCCCACTCTGGAAGAAGAATTAACTTATTATCATTACACAGCTCATCATCACAACTTATCTGATTCTTCACCAAGATTCAGAATATTGAGTAAAGTGATATTTTTGTACTTTGATTATCATAGTTCCTTTCTTAGTTCAGGCTGTTGGAAAACTTCAAGTGGTGTTCTGAGCTGGTGGGATTAATAGCTAACAGAACAAGCTTGAAATTTACAAAGGACACTTCATAAAGAGTCTAAAGTGCCCTGTGGCAATGCTGGATCCTCAGAGTATAAATTACTGCAGGCTTCAGAGTTGTCAGATCAACCAGAGCCCAGAGCCAGATCCTTAGAAAGACAGCTCAGCTGTCTCAGCCATCTCACTGGCAGCAACTCATCTTAGCTTGTTTTTCTTGACTGCAGCATGTGATGGCTGTGCCGCAGTTGTGCTCACGTCCTGTGATCACAACACATCCTTCAGCTGATACAGCCCTTTGCAGAATTGATGACTTTGGAAAAAGAGAAAACACTTGAGTTTTCAAAAAACCTGTGAGTTTTTTTCAGTTTTTTACAAAAACTCATTGAGTTTTTCAAAAACTGAGCAAGCTCTTTCTCTTTTAGACTTACTGAGCCAGGTTTCCAAAAAAAACTCACAAACTTTTTGAAAAACTCAGCAGCTTTTTGACAAAACTCAAGGTTTTTTATTTGAAAACTCGAGGTTTTTTTTCCTCAAAGTCATCAATTATGCAAAGGGCTGTAGCTCCATTTGGTTTAATTTGATGTCAACCTTGAAGAACAACAAAATAAAAAGTCAGGACATTGATTCCTTGTGTAGCTGGAATCTACATGAAAACCTTGCAACAAATTCCAATTTGCTCAAGTTTTGCGGGCCAAATCGCGCAAGCTTTTCTTATGTTTCCTTCTGCTTATGTGTCATGTTTTTCTTTTTTACTCACTGAAGCTTTTAATACAGGCCTGTATATGTGCCTTGGCTCGGGGGTCGGTGCATCATGCACAAAAACAAAAAGAATTCTTTTCGTAAGTTTAAAGTTTTCGATATCTTTGACAATTTTCCAGCAAACCGAAGGAGTTTAGGAGAGTATCGGAGCCTCCCCGAGGCAAGGCGGAAAGTGCGGAAAATACAGGTTAGACGTACAGGGTAGACATGTGAGCACTTTTGTTTCAGCATCCCAAAGCGGAAAGGCCCTTTGATGCTATGACCAATGTGGAACTATTAATCCAACCACATGTATCAGCTATCATCCAGCAAAAGAAACGAGATGAAGAACTTATCAAATCAACAACTCGGCACCTGCTCTTGATCATATCTCTTCTCGATTGTATCCCTTACTCGCCATAGCCAACAACACCTCCAGATAGTGATGTATGGATGGCGGAAGGCTCACAGCAAGGTATTGTATAGGCCTTCTGTGCGTAGTGAGCTGAAGAGACTGTTCAGACCGCACAACCACGTCGGCGGCAACACATAAGAATTTGACAAATTCTTGCACAGTGATTGTCAACATGATGTTGGCATCATGGGCATCAAGAAGCGATATGAGTTCGGTCAAAAGCATTGATAGGAAGATGAGGGAGGTCTTTTAAAAAAATGAAAGTCTTTGATTCGCTTAGTTCCCTATCCCTTTGCCCTTACCCAACACGCCTATTCATCGTACTTTTTACTCAACGTTACTTTTTTGTAATTAATCAATTGTTACTCGTAACGAGTATTTCACCCAACATTCTTTATATGGTGAAACGTGTTCGAAGTTCGAAGTAAGCCTAACTGCCCAATTCGGACAGTGCTCTTTCGAGGGCTGTTTATACAGTTCTGTATTTTTTCCGCACTTTCCGCAATTTCCGCACTTTCCGCCTTGCTTCGCGCAGGCTCCAATCCTTTGGAGTTTAGAACAGACAGGATCGGATGCATTTGTGGAGACAGCCAGGGGTCCTAGGTGATCTACAGCCATCTCCTTGTTCCATTACTAAACCGGTTAAGAGAATTTTACACTCAATGATTTACACTCGATAATGAGTGTAAAATCAGATGAGTGTAAAAATCAACAATCACGGGGGCAATTAGAATTTTACACTCAATCTGGCCCGAATTTTTGTGTGTAATATTTGATGTGTAAAAGTTTGAGTGTAAAATTCCAAGTCACCCGGGCCGAGATAGAATTTTGCACGTGACTTTTTACACACCAAATGGAGTGTCAAAGTTCTAGGGTGCAAATATCTAAGTTCGGCCCCCCAAATCCATTTTTACCCTCCAACCTCTCTACACTCAAAGTTGAATGTAAACCACATGAATGTTTTTTTTCACAAACCCACCCCCAAATTAGAATTTTGCACGCGATGAAGAATCATCATCAAACTCACCGAATCGGCCGTGGATATCACCATCTGCACGGCATCTCAAACTCACCGATCGGCCTCGTCTATCAGGATGTGGTGCTAACCACATCATTCCCCTGCCAAAACCCCCTACATGCCCTAACCTTCGACGACTTCCCTTTGTAGGACAACCATCCCTTGCAGACATTGATGATTGCCCTAACTCTCCTCGCCTTTGACCAACACCTCCACCCTTTCGATGACAGCCTTAAAGCTCACTTCAATACCTCAAACCTCGATCCTCCCTGGACTAATCCGCTGCTTATATCACACCAGATTACCACTCCTGGAACTTCAACTGAGTCCTTCGAAGCCACGTATCCGATTCACCGAAGATTAATCTCGATGATCAAGAGTATCCCTGCTGCTGATGCTGACCTAGTCGAGCTAAGCAAGATGTCACGTATCCTGCGTCCACGACGGCTTCCCATCGATGGACCTCACCGAGCAACCTCTTACGACTCTTTTCCTGAAACCCCCGCTCAAGAATCTGCTCGAGAATCAAGACTCCCAATTCTTCTGCTCCCCATTCTTCCGTACCAATTGATTTACCTTTATCAACCGTACCATTTCTATCACTTCTACTCCTTATATCAATCTAATTCTAATAACCAACCCCTTCCACTTCAAAACTTTCACCGCTCATACCAATTTTACCAAATTATTGTGTCGCTTATCTGTTTTGCTATGTCTTCTGGAACCGAATCCAACGATCAATTAGAACATATGGTTTCACCGTTCCCGACTCAGACCAAAACCCAATCCACTCAACCTGTTCCCGCTGAAACCGAAGATGTTACTGTAGCCGACGATGTTAATGAATCGAACCACACATCTTCCAAAACCAAGAAAAAGCGAAATCGCCCCAAGAAAACCGGCAAAAAATT